TCAACTCCTGGAAGCCTCAACTCTTAGAACCCTCAAGCCTTCCTCTCAATCTAACCCTCAAACCTCAACTCCTAGAAGCCTCAACTCTGAGAATCCTCAAACCTCAACCCCTCCTAATCTCAACACCTCACACCTCAACCCCTCTCAAACCTCAACTCCTGGAAGCCTCAACTCTTTGAAACTTCAACTCCTCCTAATCATTTTCCCCAAACCTCCACTCCTAAAAGCCTCAACTCTTAGAACCCTCAAACCTCAACTCCTAAAAGCCTCAGCTCTTAAGACCCTCAAACCTCAACTCTTGGAACCCCCAAACCTCAACTCCTCCTACCCCCAGCCTCCAAGCATGAACTCCCAACAACCCTCAGCCTTCAAACCTGAACTCAAAGCATCTCCTTTGCCAAGGCTCCAATCCACCGTGCTCTTGAGGTTGATCGTGTCCTCCTCTGCCCTCTCCTCCACCTTCTTCTTCTTACTCTCCTCCACCATCTTGCCATGCAGGTGGCCGATCCTTGGCTGCCACAGCAAACCCTGCACCTCAACCCTTACAACCCTTAGCACCCTCAAGCCTCACTGACCCTCTCCTTTCAGGGCAAAAAAACAGCCTATAAGTCACTGCCCCGCCCTTCAAATAACAAACCCTAACTACCCTCCCCTACCCCAATTGCAAGCCAAAGCTGCAGCACCCCCACCGCCAGCGTGCCCATCACCAGCACCACCTTGTTCCAATCCTGCCACAGGCACTCCCTCCCTGTCACTTGAAAACCCACCCCTTCAAACCCCCACTCTCTCTCTCTCTCTCTCTCTCTCTCTCTGCCATTCACCCTGCAACCAAGGCACATCATGGTGCCTGACCTCTCCTCACCTTGCCTGATCACCTCACCTCACCTCACCTGCTTGAGCAGCTGAAATGGCCAGCGGTGTTGGGACCTGACTTTTTCCCCCAAATTCTTTGATTTGGAAACCCCCTATTAATCAACCATAAGAAAGGCCCCCCGTGGTTGCTTTAAATCCTGACCTTCCCACAAGGTTACCTGACATGACTTTCCCACAAGCTACCTTCAAGCCCCTGATGAACAATTCTTAGATTTGGCACCCCCTGTTAATCAACCATAGCCTTCAATATAATTCTCTGATTTGCTATAAATCCTGGCCTTCCCAGAAGGCTTTCCTGGCCTGACTTTTTCACAAGCTACCTTCAAGCCCCCAAATTCTTAGATTTGGCACCCCCTATTAATCAACCATAGAAAGGCCCCCCTGGTTGCTTTAAATGCTGACCTTCCCACAAGGTTACCTGACATGACTTTCTCACAAGCTACCTTCAAGCCCCCTAATTATTGATCAACAGTTCTTAGATTTGACACCCCTATTAATCAACCATAGCCTTCAAAAGAATTCTCTGATTGCTTTAAAGCCTGACCTTCCCACAAGGTTCCCTGACCTGACTTTTTCACAAGCTGCATTCAAGCCCCCTAATTGCTGATCAACAGTTCTGTGATTTGGCACCCCTATTAATCAACCATGGAATGGCTCCCTTGGTTGCTTTAAATCCTGACCTTCCCACAAGTTACCTCTTTCTCACAAGCTACCTTCAAGCCCCCTAATTATTGATCAACATTTCTTAGATTTGGCACCCCCTATTAATCAACCATAGGTTTCACAAGCTACCTTCAAGCCCCCAAATTCTTTGATTTGGCCCCCCCTATTAATCAACCATAGAAAGGCCCCTCTGATTGCGTTTCATCCTGACCTTCCCACAAGGTTCTCTAACCTGACCTTTCCACAAGGTTCCCTGACCTGACTTTTTCACAAGCTGCCTTCAAGCCCCCTAATTACTGATCAACACTTCTTAGATTTGGCACCCCCCTATTAATCAAAGGACTCTCTGATTGCTTTAAATCCTGACCTTCCCACAAGGTTCCCTCTTTCTCACAAGCTACCTTCAAGCCCCCTAATTATTGATCAACAATTCTTAGATTTGGCACCCCTATTAATCAACCATAGCCTTCAAAAGAATTCTCTGATTGCTTTAAAGCCTGACCTTCCCACAAGGTTCCCTCGCCTGACCTTCTTACAAACCACAAGGATCCCTGACCTGACCTTCCCACAAGGTTCCCTGACCTGACTTTTTCACAAGCTACCTTCAAGACCACCAAATTCTTTAGATTTGGCACCCCCAATTAATCAACCAAAGAGATACAACTCTGATTGCTTTAAATGCTGACCTTCCCACAAGGTTCCCTCACCTGAACTTCCCACAAGGTTCCCACAAGGTTCCCTGGTCTGACCTTCCTACAAGGTTCCCTGACCTGACTTTTTCACAAGCTACCTTCAAGCTCCCTACTTATTCATCAACAATTCTTAGATTTGGCACCCCCTGTTAATCAACCATGTTCTCCAACAGCCTCCAAAAACCCCTCTGGCCTCAAAAGTCATGACCTTCCCACTCACCTGACCTTCAAGCCCCCCAAATTCTTCTGGCACCCCCTATTAACAACCAGAGAACTACAACTCTGCTTGCTTTACATGCTGACCTTCCCACAAGTTTCCCTCACCTGACCTTCCCACAAGGTTCCCACAACCACAAGGTTCCCTGACCTGACCTTCCTGCAAGGTTCCCTGACCTGACTTTTTCACAAGCTACCTTCAAGCTCCCTAATTACTCATCAAAATTCTTAAAATTTGGCACCCCCTATTAATCAACCATGTTCTCCAACAGCCTCCAAAAACCCCTCTGGCCTCAAAAGTCATGACCTTCCCACTCACCTGACCTTCAAGCCCCCCAAATTCTTCTGGCACCCCCTATTAACCAACCAGAGAACTACAACTCTGCTTGCTTTACATGCTGACCTTCCCACAAGTTTCCCTCACCTGACCTTCCCACAAGGTTCCCACAACCACAAGGTTCCCTGACCTGACCTTCCTGCAAGGTTCCCTGACCTGACTTTTTCACAAGCTACCTTCAAGACCACCAAATTCTTTAGATTTGGCACCCCCAATTAATCAACCAAAGAGATACAACTCTGCTTGCTTTAAATGCTGACCTTCCCACAAGGTTCCCTCACCTGACCTTCCCACAAGGTTCCCACAAGGTTCCCTGGTCTGACCTTCCTGCAAGGTTCCCTGACCTGACTTTTTCACAAGCTACCTTCAAGCTCCCTAATTACTCATCAAAATTCTTAGATTTGGCACCCCCTATTAATCAACCATGTTCTCCAACAGCCTCCAAAAACCCCTCTGGCCTCAAAAGTCATGACCTTCCCACTCACCTGACCTTCAAGCCCCCCAAATTCTTCTGGCACCCCCTATTAATCAACCAGAGAACTACAACTCTGCTTGCTTTACATGCTGACCTTCCCACAAGTTTCCCTCACCTGACCTTCCCACAAGGTTCCCACAACCACAAGGTTCCCTGACCTGACCTTCCTGCAAGGTTCCCTGACCTGACTTTTTCACAAGCTACCTTCAAGCTCCCTAATTACTCATCAAAATTCTTAAAATTTGGCACCCCCTATTAATCAACCATGTTCTCCAAAAGCCTTCAAAAGACCCCTCTGATTGCTTTAAATCCATTCTATAGGTTCCCTGGCCTCACAAGTCATGACCTTCCCACAAGGTTTCCTCACTTGACCTTCCCGCAAGGTTCCCTCACCTGACCTTCCCACAAGGTGGTTCCCTCACCTGACCTTCCCTCAAGGTTCCCTCGCCTGACCTTCCCACAAGGTTCCCTCACCTGACCTTCCCACAAGGTTGACCTTCTTCCCTCACCTGACCTTCCCACAAGGTCCTGACCTTCCCACAAGGTTCCCTTCACAAGGTTCCCTCACCTGACCTTCCCACAAGGTTCCCTCACCTGACCTTCCCACAAGGTCCTGACCTTCCCACAAGGTTCCCTCACCTGACCTTCCCACAAGGTCCTGACCTTCCCACAAGGTTCCCTCACCTGACCTTCCCACAAGGTTCCCCCACCTGACCTTCCCACAAGGTCCTGACCTTCCCACAAGGTTCCCTCACCTGACCTTCCCACAAGGTCCTGACCTTCCCACAAGGTTCCCTCACCTGACCTTCCCACAAGGTCCTGACCTTCCCACAAGGTTCCCTCACCTGACCTTCCCACAAGGTTCCCCCACCTGACCTTCCCACAAGGTCCTGACCTTCCCACAAGGTTCCCCCACCTGACCTTCCCACAAGGTCCTGACCTTCCCACAAGGTTCCCTCACCTGACCTTCCCACAAGGTCCTGACCTGACCTTCCCACAAGGTCCTGACCTTCCCACAAGGTCACCTGACCTTCCCACAAGGTCCTGACCTTCCCACAAGGTTCCCTCACCTGACCTTCCCACAAGGTCCTGACCTTCCCACCTGACCCCCACCTGACCTTCCCACAAGGTCCTGACCTTCCCACAAGGTTCCCCCACCTGACCTTCCCACAAGGTCCTGACCTTCCCACAAGGTTCCCTCACCTGACCTTCCCACAAGGTTCCCTGACCTAACCTTCCCACAAGGTTCCCCTTCCCACTATTAGGGGGGGGCCCTCAAAAAAATGACAGACCTGACCTTGTGACCTTGAGGGGGGGGGGGGGGAGGGGGGGCCGGTTTATTAATCCGGGGTCTGCATTAAAGGGAAACCAAAAGGAACCCACCCATTTTGGGGGGTCTCCTATTTTGAGACAAACCCATATGGGTGTCTCTGTTTGTTTTGCTCCTTTCATGTGTTAAAGGACGACGAAAAGAACACCATGATTGGGATCCACGAAAAAAAGCGTGAAAAGAAGACAAATCATCAAACTTGAAGAGGAGCCTGCATGCTTCATGAGCCCACTCCCACGCCAGCAAAACTCTGTTTTGAGGTCGCCCTTTTGTGGATGGCGTCTTGTGGGAAACTCCCAAACTCGCCCGACCGATCAGACCGATCAGACCGATCAGACCGATCAGACCGATCAGACCGATCAGACCGATCGAGTCAACGAGCGATCCGAGCGATCGATCCGTGCGGCTTTCGGCCTTCTCGTCCCACTTGTCCATGTCTAAGTCCCCCTCGGAGAGAGGTTTCTTTCCGCCGGATTTTTTTTTCGTGGGCGATGCACCCCTAAGGTTTCAACCACGGAAAGCCCAAGGGAACCGGCCCATTTCGGGGTTTGGACCATGTTCCTGTAAAATGGGATCTGGTGGGCTTGTTTTGCTTTGTTTAACCAGGGGTTACCCTCCTGTGCAATCATGGAACCTCACGTTTCGAGGTCCTGGACCATGTTCCTTCAAAATGGACCCTTTGGTGGGGGCTTCTGTTCCCTTTGGAGGTCCCAGGATCTCATGCCTTTTCAGACCGGGTCCTCAACAAACCGCCCGACGCTGTCTTTCTTGCTACGAATCGGAACGGGGGGCAAAACCAGAAGCACTTGGGTTGCCCCTTCAACGCGGGTCTGCGTGCCAAAACACAGGGCTCCCTTTTTGTGGGGTGGCGGAATTGTTGGCGCCACATAAACATGCCCCACTGACAGTGAGCCAGTGAACATCCTCCCGCCACAGGGCCACCATTTGACAGCACCACCACACCCAAAGGACCCCATTACAAGCGCAAAAGCATGATGTAAAACGCACCCCGACGCAAAGTCTTGCTCCCTGCGTAAGATGGAACCCTAAAACTATATCTCCTTTTGGGGACACCGTTCCACGTTTACTGATGTTTCACAACCTCAACGCTCAAATCGAGAAAGATCTGCCGAGGATCTATCATCGGGACGACCAAACGGCGCTCCTTCTTTGAAAGCATCTCGATGGTCTCCTCAAGGGTTGCCCCAGACCCGCCATGGTCATCTGAGTCATAATCAAAAACTTGGCGTTGAAATGGAGTACCCAAAACCATGCGAAGAATTGACAAGGCGGCTGCACCCAGTTATGGTTGGGACTATCCCTTGCCAATCTTCATACCCCGGCTTGATTGTGCTCTTGAAAAAGCTGGACATGGTTTGCTGCTACTTTTCTGGCCGGTGCTACTCACAAACCCCCAGTGCTTTTCTATGGGGGGAAAAGCTGGGCAGTGGATTTCCATGACAAATGGCACCCCCTTCTCGTTGATTGTTGATCTTAAATTTGAACAACTCTATTCGAAGAAAAGGAAACGTCTGTGTCTGGTATCTGGAGGACTGTGCCGCTTGCACCAGGGGACTCCTATGGGTTGCCTCAAGAAGATACTCCCTGCAACATGGAACTCAAAAAGGAATTCCCCAAAGGAGATTCCCATCCTAAAAACGGCTCATGTTAATCTGCAGCAGGGTAGCTTCCATCCAAGCACGGTTTGGTACCACTTGGGCGAATTGGCGCCCACTCTGGGACAGGGGATGCCTGCTCGTGCACTGAGATGCATGGTGGAAGGGCCTCATGCTTGGAAACAACATCACGAGACCAGTTGGTGGAGAGTGCAGTTCTACCAACAAAACTGGGCTGCCGTTATTTGACCTCCTTGATGGCGAACATGTTAGCATATAGAAGGGGTTGCTTGTTAACTTAGCCAATGAAAAATAACTACTTGAAACCTGGAACACCCAACAAGGCATTTAAGCAAAGATAGCATCCCCAACAAAGTGGAAATATGATAGCAGGCAGCCGTTCGCGTTTCTGAAAGGACAGTGAAACGGCAAAGCCGAAAGTCGCCCGCTCGTGTGCAACCCCAAGGCGCCCCCGAGCCCTTGACAAAAAACATTTGCCAGTTGACTTGCTTTTCTGGCTTGAGGGGAAAAATCAAAGGAATCAAGAGCAAAAAAGGATCAACCGTCTAGCTATGAGTCTGGCAAGGGCCTAAGCTGGCGGCCGGTTGTTTTGGTCTTCCTGGACATCGGTGGGTTCGAAGTTGAGAGATCACCCGAAAACTCCACGGCCAGTGCCATGGGCTGGATTTGGACGTGCCTTGTGCCAGCCGACCGCAGGAGCCACGTGGCAGTCATAAAAACCGATGTAGGTGCCCTTTGCTGCATCACCTTCACCGCAGAAGAGCAAAGAGGGTCAGCATTACGAAAGAGAGCACCCACCTTTTCCCCCACTCCACACTGAAACGTTTCTTAGAGCGAACTAGTAGCGTTCAACAAAACTACAAATTGCCATCTTTGTTGGCTCCGCACCAATCTGCAGGGAAAGACATTTCTCGGGGGCGTGGTTCCTCAAGCGGCTATGTTAATTTTGTTGAGGGTGCCCTTGTTGGGGTGGCTTGAAGGGAAATTAAAAGGACAACCACATGTTTTGTTGAGGGGGGGGGTCACACCCAAGCGGGCATTCCGCGAATCGAAGAGAAGCAACCGTCCGAAACCCTTGGACAGCCGGACTTGGTACCTGTTTGGGTGGGTTTAAAGGGAGGGGTCCACTTTTGGGGGTTCCCCTTAGGAACAAACCCATGTTCATCAACCCCTTGCCCATGCCAGTTGCAACCTGTGGCTTTTCTGGAATCATAGTTCGAACATCTGTTCTCAGGAAAAGCGGTAAAGAAGAAACCTCGAGCATGCGGCCAAAAAACTCGAGCAATCGCTGGAACCGGACCCAATAATTAAGGTGGATGTACCATGATGTACCTATAACTCCCCTGACACCTGGGCTGTCCTCGGATCCCCTGCTAAAAGTATTGACTTGCGGGTCAAAACCCAACCACCTTTCACCGACAGAAAACAAATACAACCCGAAGTTGAACCAGACAGCTGAGAACCACCTTGAAACATCGTAACTTGGCAACCAACAAACAGTGCAAACACCAACCTGACGCCTGTGTCAGGCACCGGTAAAGCAAAGACAGGGTTCTGTGTAGGAGGGAGCCGCCGAAAACCAGGGGGCAGCCACAAAAGGTGCTGATTAAATCCGCCAACTCTTGGCATCTTCACCTGATCAAGCATTTAGCATCCGACAAGTGAAGGGGACAATTTAGGGAACCCTGTTTCAGCTGCCATTGCCTTGACAGGATATCAGGTACGCGCAAGGGGTACCAGCCTGGGCTACAAAACCATATCCCCCCTAATTCAATCTTATACTGCTGCATGGGTGTTATATAGTTTTGTTCGGGGACCCACAAAATGGTGGGTTTCCTTTTGGTGGTCCCTTGAAGCCACAAAAGAAGGTACCCTCCAAAAAGGAGACTCCACGGCTCTGAGTCTCAACAGGGAATCTGAAGTATGCTCAAAAAATGGCGAACAACTTTGGGAGGCATGGCACACCAAGCTGCCCAGTGGCCCAGCTACAACAAACTGGGGGTTGATCAATATTCCATTTAGGGCCCAAAGGACCATGGCAAACTGTTCCCATTTTGTGGGAGATGTCGTCCTTTCAGTGGTTTTCGCCACCCATGTAAAGGACCTTTGTTTGGGGTTGACCAGTTTAGTCATGGGCCGGGGAGGGGGGGATAAACCCTTATTAGGGTATACCCTCCCCCTCCCCCGCAGGCCCCATGAGCTAGTTGAGAGGCCAAACAGAAAATGAAAAAGGCGACCGCATTCTTCGGGGTCGATCATGTGGCTAGCAAAAATCAATAGGAAACCACATGCTTCCGTGAATCCCCGCCTAATGATGTCCAAAGAGTCCGCCATTAAGATCAATACCTAGAGTCTCCACGACCCTCAACAAATGGTTGGTCATGACCCGAATCTTTATTTTTGGTAATGATCCACCATTCTTTAAGGGTCAGACTCGGAGACTGCAGGTACTCATGTAGTTCTGGTCTTGACCGGTAACGGGATGCCTTGAGCCAGTCTGGCCGAGGCACCGCCGGTCTGCTTCGCGATCATCAAGCCCAGAGATTCTTTGTGCCTCCATCCGCAGAGATTCCTTGTGCCTCCCCCCTATCCTAAGGGGGAGGGGCCCGGAGAAAGGTGGGAAAGCCCCTGCAATTCCATTTAATTACTCTAAACCCCACAAATCTTAAAATGGCACTATGGAATTCCAGAAATCGAAATCCCCCCTCCCCCAATTCCATTTTGAAGGGGGTGGGGATGTGCCTCCGGGTGGAAAGAAGCGGTTCCAATCTAGATGCAGTGGGCGTGTTTACTCAGGGGTCGCTGGATTTCGCCAAATCAATAGTGGCAATTGACAAGTGGTTCCCATTGTAACGATCGCCACTTTTGGAGGTTCCAAAAAGGGGACATTCAGGAAAACCGTGTTGCTTGGGACTTTGCTTTCTTTTTTTGGACACAGGAAATCCTGATCGGAGTTTGCAAAACGTTGGCTTCGTGCTGGATAGGGGGGTTAGTCAATATTCCTGGCCCCCAAATGACCACGGGTAACTCTTCCCATGTGGGAAAGTCGATCCTTCTTGGTGGTTTTCCCTCATGGTCTTTCCACGTTCATCGGATCTTTCGGATCAACTCCACATGTTTCAAACACCGCCCTGGAATTGCCAGTGCCCCTCCCGGACCTCCAGCTAAAAAGAAGCGCAGCTTCTTTAGGAGTTCCCTCGACAAATGGCGGCTTTCTGGTAAGTCGGGCATGTTCCTAGTTCCTAGGTAACCAAAGCAAACCACCCATAAAGCCCGGAGGTAAACAGGTAAGCATGGGGCTTGATCAATATTCCTGGCCCCAACATTGACCATTGGTCACTTTTCTCAGTGCTGAACGTTGATCCCTTTTTGGGGTGCCCTTTTGATCAACCCCGACACCCCCAAGGGACCCCGACCTATCGTGGCTATCGTGGCGGCACATGCCTTTGCGACCCAGCTCTTTGACACGTGCGACCCAGTTCCCAAGGTCATGCAACTGGAAATGGATTCGGGGGCTGAGGGGACCCCAAGAAAGCTTTGGGAAACTGGGCTGACCTCAGAACCCTCAGCTAAAACAAGTGGGTTAAATGGAAACCCAGCCACTAAACCAGTAAAAAGCAAAGTAGCAAGGGGGTGGCTGGTCATTTGTTCGGTTTCCTGGGACTGCCCAAACTTAGAGACAACTCGGCACGCTAACCACTTAAGACTTTTCTTCGCCCCGCTAAACCCTCGTCCGCCTCAAAACCTTCAGATTGCAGTGGCTGGGGATGTCTTTCCTGAGCGAACCAACTGATCGGTTCTCCTCTGAAAACATCACCAAAGGAAACTCACTTGCATCTGCCGGTCTGCTTGCAACAGTGGATACGGGACAGTTGCGGCCCCTCTTTACAACTTTACAAATGCCCCCCAAGGTAATCTTTAAACCGCAAAGAAGCTGGAAATAGCTGGATAAAACGCGATCCGCTCTTTGCTGCCAAGTGGGAATGTAGCCATACTCAAAGCTTTAGACTACCTAGAATTTGCCCACGGAAGATTCATTCTTCGAATATAACATCATATCAAAAGAGTTCCGAGTAGCTTGGTCAACGTCCATCTCTAGACAAGCTTGCATTATCCTTTTGATTCATAATGTTTGCCGAGGCAAGATGGTCCCGAATGTTGACTCGAGTGCAGGGTAACCTTGTCCAGCCATCTTGGAAAGGGATGCCTTTGTGAGATGATGGCAGTACTCCAAACACTCCTGTCCACTTCGCAAACTGATTGATGCTGACCCAATTCCGCCTGGTGCATCAATAAAGTGTGTCCCTGCAAAGTGATCCAGTGTCCTCTTAAATGGCTGACACTCCAGGTGTATCAATCCTGGTTTCTCACTCTGTGTCTCACGAGCATCATAGACCCCCAACACCAACGGAGGGTACCTCATAGCAATGCAGCATGTTCTGCTTAAATCCGGGGTCACGATGATAGGAATGGGTTTGCACACTTACTGTGGCTGTGTGAAGAACAGACTTGAGCAGTGACCCTTGGGAAGGTTGTCTTAATGGAACAAGTTTGGCGGGGTTTGGGCCAAGCTCCCGTTCAAACATGTCGAAGCGGGGGCGCTCTTTTTTAGATAAGCTCCTTTTAGAGGCAGGGTCTGGCTGTTTGGGTCTGGTTGTTTAAACACATTTGTGTGTCTCGCAAAATTGGGCTCCCCGTGAAATACTTGGTTTTGTTTGTTTCTCGTCATTTTTTGGCAAAAGAGGGTCGGGGCCAGAATCCTGATTTGAGAAAGAACCTACCAACATGCTGGGTAGGGAAACCAAAAGCAAGCCACGATGTTTGGGTCAAACTCCTATGTTCACACATTTTCACACATACCTAACCTGAAGTTTACCTAACCCTGAAGTTACGGGGGGTTCCCCATTTGCCCTCCACAAAAAGTAGGGGTTCAAATCCCGACCAATCGAAACCACCAATTGACGGTGCTCCCTAGAGTTCACCTTGAATCAGCATCTCTACCAAAGGGCACTCATCCTTAATGCCCGAATTCTTGTAGAGGGTAAATGAGAAACCAACCCCGAAACACCTTCAGACCCCCCAGTTGATATTGCTGTCTTTTCGGGGACTCCCCCAAAATGGATTTCCGGTTTCCTGGCGGTTTCTCCCGCTTTTCAGACCACAACAAGAAGTCTCTATGGGTAGTTGAGAGGCCCCCTCGGGTTCGGGTTCCGTTTCGGTATGCCATACCGACGGACCACTTTGAAACCATAGGATACCACTGCTCGTTGGCATTTACAGGGGAATCATCATTTCAGGGTTTCTTAGGCGGTGCGAAATGGATTTCGTCCATCCGCTTTAGGGAAGCCTTTTCTTGGAGCATCTCAACTCAAAAAGGCACTTATGGTCATGGCCTATGGTCCTGTCTTCCCTTGACAAATGATTGATTGACCATCCCTGTTTAACCAAGTAAAAGAACCGGTCTGTCCATTGTCTAGGTCCTCCAGTAGAGAGGTTAGAATATTAAGGGTACCACTTTTTTTTCTCTGTAGTTTATTTTAGTTGGGGGAACCCTCCCAACCAAAAAAGTTGGTGAGAAAGGGCACCTAGCTGGAGGACCGAGTGGATTCCGTTGTACATCTGGAAGCCCATTAATATGAAAACCATCCCCCTGCTGTAGGAGGGAGGGGGTGGGGGGCCCCCCCATTCCATTTATCAGCCTGTTTATCTACTCTTCCCAGTAAAAGGGAAAATGGGTTGCCAGACATGGATTTCCAGGGCTCGAAATCCCCCCTCCCCCAATTCCATTCTTAAGGGGTTGGGGATGGAAAAATCCCATCGGTAAGCCCCGCGCCTCAAAACCTAAGAGGGCGCCGTGGTGCACCTACCCCATGGGACCATATGGAAAAACCCAATGGCTTTGAAGCCCCTCGCCTCGCGAAGCGGAAAAAAAAGCCTTGACGGCCGCCGGGAAGCAGCTTCTCCTCCATGGGCGGCACCGAGGCATCGTCCACCACGATGATCTCCTCGAGGACCTCCGGGCTGAGGCGGGAAGCGGAGAGTGGAGGAGAGCGAGCGGAGCGAGAGATGCGTTGAAGAGAAATGGAGTCTGACCGCCCAGAGGGTCCTGGCTTCGGCTTGCAATGGAAGACCTGCCCCCTCCATTAGACACCCCAGAGGTGTTTGGGGGTCTCAAAACCTGGCTGATTGAGGGCCCTAAATTGATCGGGAGTGTCTGGGCGAGGAAAAACCCATCCAGGTGGTGGCTTCCTAAAAAGAAGCTTGGATGAATGGCCCCAACGAAAACAGTCCCAGCGGTGGCTTGCGTTAATTAAGGGAATCCCGTTTCCAAACCCATGAAGGTGGAAGAACGCCCCCCCAAGCAGCTCGGACAAAACACTGAAAAAGGTAGGAAACCCGGGCCAACCAGAAGCATCCCGTTTGCCGCTGGCTCGAAACAGGAAAGTGCATGTTGGGAGCACGGGGATCTGGAAAGCAGGGGTTGCTGCATGCTTGTTTGGCTCTCCATCCCCCTCAAAGGGCTTCTGTTTTCAGAAGCTTGCGTGGCATGAAGCACTGGAGGCAGCGTTTCTTGAGGCGTTGACCGAATTCTGCCACACAAGCAAAGGGCCAAACAACGTGGTCCTTTGCATTCGGCCGTATTTTTTCCACAAGGGGCGAGAAAAACAACTTTCCGGGTTCCAAGTAAGAATAAGACGCCTGCACAATAAAGATTTTTGTGTTCAAAAACTTTGGAGGGGATAATGCCAAATTAGAATTGGCAAACTCGCTGTTTAATGAGGGGGACTGGATTACAACGTAGGTAACCAACAACTTCTAGCTTGGTTGAACACCGTTGCGTCCAACTGAGTTTCTCTTTGCAATACTGTAATTCGCAAGCGGAAAAAAAAAACCCTAAGAAACAGGGGACTTTCAATCTTTTTTTTGGCCGAGCGCGTGTTCCCCCGAATCGGTGGATTGCTCGTTTTGTGCTCAGCCACTTGGCTGTGGGTCAAAACCAATTGTACCAGATTGGGGTAGGTGCACTACCCATTTAAGAACCTATTTTAGTGGGGATTGGGATGTTCACTGGGGGTACGATTTCGATTTTGACCCATCGCCACTTGTCTTGTTCAACCCCTGCAAATCCGAACCGCTTCGGCAGCGAAGAAGAGCCAAGCATTTTTTTTTCGCGCCTCGGAGGGGGTGCGGTTGCAGAAGCTCATGACCGTCTTGGCGGCGTAGGGCTCGTTCAAGCATGGCAGCACTACCGACATCGTCTGGGGGATCGTGGTCTTCGTCTTCTGCAGGAAGTTGCTTTGGTCCCACTGACCTGCAAGCTCCATAACAAATGCACAACAAAAAACAGACGCAAAGAACAACATATATTATATACATACATTACATATATGACATGTTTCCCGAACAGGTTGGTTGGGCTTCCCCTTACTTTGTGGTTGGATGGGCGGTTTGGGAAGATAGGTGGGCTTTCTTTTAACTTCATCAACAATCAGGACTTTAAATCCCCAAAACAACCAATCCAAGCCAGAAAGCAAGGGTTGTCTGAAATAGAGGGGCTGGAAAGAAGAGTAACATAACCCCCGTTTTAGCTTCCGTATGCTTCTATTTGCTTAAGTCCCCTGGCAAAAATATACTTCCAGTAGTGACAATTCAACTGAAAATTAACCGGCGAGAATACAGACACATTCTTCAGCAAATGGACTTATGGGCTAAAAACAAATGCATGGGCTACATAAACTATTTGGCGCCCAAAGAAAATGCTACTCTTTGCGCCAGTGAGGCCGGGCAAAAGGAGCCTGCTCATAGGTGGCCTTTTGGACAAATCGATGGGTTTCCCAAGTAAATGGTTGATAAAACCCCATCTAAACCAGTGGAACCCTTCTATTCTAAGCAAAGACCTATGACCCTAGTTTACCTCCCTCCGCCTTCCCCGGAGAGTATCATGCGCAGAATATCATGGAACCCAGCAATCTCCATTGACACCTACTTGGATGTTCGGCCAAGTAAGTGGTTCGCTACGTGGGTTACTACTCACCAATAAGAGGGTTACGTGCACTTATTGCGGCTGACGACCTACCAACAACTCACTAACTTGGCGCGAACACCCAGACCACAAACCGGGGAAGCATGGACTAGTGGATCTCTTGTGGAAACGCTCCTAGCCCTTGGTAGGTGACATTTGGGAAGCCTATTTGTTCAAGTGATTCTAGGTCCTCCAGTAGAGAGGCTAGAATAAGGGTACCCATTTTCTGTGGTCTATTTTAGTAGGGGCATCCTCCGCCAAAAGGGTAAAAGTTGGCACCTGGCTGGGGGACCTAGGATTGATTCAGAGGCAACCGGGAACAGGTTGCAGGTGGGCTCTGAGTCAATGATTTGGATGCCTCGCCACTCCGAGAAGAAGCTTCAATTTCACTCCAGTGTCCCTTCCCTAAGTCTGCAGATTTACTAGTTTTAGCAAGAGGATAATTTATGAAATTGCTTTTTTTTTTTTTACGTAAATATTTAGGTAGGATTTGTTTGCTGAACAATTACGTAAGAGTAACTGTAACTACCTAAAAACTCAAAGATCAACACACATACACCAATTCGTGGTGATGGAAAGTCACCCTTTCTGTGATACAAATATCGGTCATTCCCATGAGTAATGTATCACTTTGAAAAGGATTGCCTTGGTAACACAGCAAGTCCAGGTCCTCCAGTAGAGAGGTTAGAATAAGGGTACCCTTTTGTCTGTAGTCCATTTTAGTAGGGGAACCCTGCCCCAAAAAAGGGTAAAAGGGCACTACTGGGAAACCTAGAAGTAGCAATCCCACCCCCCACCCCCTTTCCACGTCCGCGTGGATCCGCCAAGCCGCCGCTGGGCTTGAAGTTCGCATCCGCCAGAGCCGGCGGATGGAGTTTCTGCGCGGGTTGGACTGCCGGCACCACGGCGCCCTGCCCGCCCCGCAGCGGCGGGGAGGGCAAAGTTGCATGGGACGCGTCGTGGGAGGCGTAGAAGAAGATCAAGACCTGGCAAGATGGCGGGAGGCCGAGTTGGGCGTGTCCTTTTCAGGGTTTTTTTTCCGGGGGAGGGCTGTGGGAAATACTTCTGGGACACAAAAAGGGCTTCCCAAAGACTAACCACCCATATATATATATATATATATAAGGGGGAGGTTGTCTGGGGGAACCCCACCAGGACCCCTGAAAAGGCAGATGGTTGTCTAGGAGCCTTCGGCTCGGTCAGGTTCCATGCCATGGCAACTTGGATGGGGGGGAATTTATCCTTTTCTTGCTGGTGCTCAGTAGGGAATGACCTGCCGGGTGTTGGGAATGAACCGTTTTGGGATTCCCGAATAAAGCAAACCACAGGGGGCCGTTTACGGAGGTCATTCCCTCATTCTCTGCTGAGCAGCAAGTGCTTTGAGGTCGTTTGAAAGGTAATGAACACCCTCTATTAATAAACCCCTGTATATTAATATGGGGGTGTTTTAGTGGGGATTGTTCACTTTTGGAAGCAGGGGCTTATTGATCCGGGGTCAGCATTAAACCAAACCACATCCAACAATTTTGGCCCTTTCAGGTGTTGAGCCTCCAAAGGTTGGAGTCCCGAAATGACGACCCCACTGGTTAATTGTTGTGACCCTCGGGCATCGTCGGTTGAAAGGAAATGTGGCTTTGACCAATCCCAAGCAATCCATGTAGGTAATGTAACCCATCTCGAGCGTTAATGCGGGTATATATATATATATGTATATATATATATATATTTATTATTACCTAGGTCCCTCCAGTAAAGAGGTTAGAACAAGGGTGCCCACGTTTTCTGTAGTTCATTTTAGTAGGGGAACCCTGCCCCAAAAAAGAAACGGCGAAAAACACCACCGAGCTGGGGGACCTAGTTACCTACGTGGATTCTGGGACTCCCACACCCAAGGCCGCCGACTTCGGTCAACCAATCACTGCGGCAGATGACATGGAACTCAGAGGCACCTCCTTCCGAGCGTGTGGATGGGTGTGGATGGGCCCCAAACAAGTAAGCAAACCTGCTGCGCAAGCGACGAACATGGTCTTCCCAAAAATGCTTAAAGTCCAGGAACTCGGGGAGTAACAGCTTCATTTGTAGAGGACCCTTTATTTGGGCGACCTTCTTCTTGTGGTCCCATCTAAAAAGAGGGAGTGCCCCAATCCCTGTGCTTCGCAGCTCCATTCTGACCCACACGTTTTACCCAGCTGCTGTTGGCCAAGCTCATTGCCAATTCCCGAATTCTTTCTGATCCATCCAAACGATTTCCAGGTCTGACTCCTTATTAAGTTCCACTTGGACGATGCGCGCGCCACGCATGGAAGCCACCGCCCCACGATGGTTGCTTCTGCTACTGCTTCCTAGCCTCCCAGCCCACACAGCAACTAACACCTGGAAGGTTGAAGGGAGACCCTGTCAGGTGCCATAGTGCCACATGAACCTATCTTCCATCTGCTTAAATCCCCTGGAACAAATAGGAAACCTGAGCAGTCGTGAAAAATCGATTCCCTTCAAACACCAACAAGGGGAAAACAAAAAGGACAACTCTTCATCTCTGCAAATGGAAGAGTAGGGTTCCTCGCGAATTTTTTGGGGGGTTTCTGATGGTTCCTTTGGGAACCCCCTCTCTCCGACACCCCCGAGACCGGCACCCGCTTCGCCCCTCGCCTGTGCCGGGACCTGGATCAGCAGCACCTCTGACTTCGGCGCTCGAAATCCGTCGGCTGGGAACATGTTCAGCGACCCCCGGCTTTCAGTCGGGACTCATCCCCTGCTTTTGTTGGTGTTTTTTTTTGGGGGGTGGAGGTTAGTTGTGTTCAGCTGAGTGCTCCCTCAGCTGCCTAGTGCGAAACGGGCTTCGTAAATTGTAGGATGTTGCCATGAATTTCCTGGTTGCCTATGGGACCTGGTATCTCTAGGGCTTGATTCCCCATTCTTTTCAACCATTGTTCTGGATCCGTTTTCAAACTGGATTTCCAGAGGTTTTCTTGAAAGAAGGATCCCTGGAAAGAATGGAAATGGAAGGTACCCCTAGAAATATGTTCAGCAACCCCCAGGCTTTTTTCTTTTCTGGGGAGCCATGACATTGGAGGGCCCCCCCCCATAAACTCGTTCACAGGTCCGGGGTCAACGTCACTCACAACCCAAACGCTATGGCCTGGCTCTATTTCTTGCGGCCCTAAAAATGAACACAACCAAAAACAAAAGAAAATCGCCAAGTACTTGAAAGCTCATATTCACCGTGGTCTGGCGGGCATACATGGAGTGATTGGGTGAAAAAAGAAAGAGACGCCTTGGTGCGCGGTTGATTTGCCTTGAAACCCCAAAAGCCCTCCTTCAAGAAAACAATCACACCCACTTGGCACTTGGGCCTGTTTCTTGGTCAAGGGCCAAGCAAAATCCAGTCATAAGGAAGGGTTCTGCAAATGTTCACCTCTTAGCAGGCCTTCCCACTGAGTTCGGCAATTCCCACGGAAAGCTTCGTTCTTGCTGCTTGAAAGGATGTAATGGCCTGATTCCGATTTGAGAGAAACTACGAAGGGTTCTGGGTTGGAAGACCCTCCCAAGTTAAACACCTGAGTGGATCGCCAGTTGCTGCTTTTTGTCCATGCACTTTACCCCAAACACCGGCAACCGTGACGAAAATAGACCCGAAGACCTTTCAGGAAACCAGAAAGAACACAATTCGGGGATTGAGGTGGGTTAGGATCCACATGAGTCATAATCAAAACCCGGTAATAAAATTGTCTACCCAGCTATAGAATCCTTTAAGGACGCCGCATCATTCTTTCCCAACACCCTGCATAGAAAGCAGTTGTTGGGACGGTAGGGAGCAAGTCCCCCTTTGAGAGCCTCAAGGACCCAGGGGACATGCGCAACTTAGGACCGGGCAATTCGTGTGGGACCTTGAGTACATGTGCTCTCCAAAATGGGCCAGACATTTCGGGGCTTGTGTTATGAGGATACCCTGTTCAGGTAGGATCCAGAAGGGAAAACCGCAGTTTGGGTCTGTCCCCAACAATTTTGTGGTTGTCCTTTGGGTTTCCCTTTAAACCCACCAAAGAGGGTATACCTGGAGTCTCCATGACCCCTAGAAAAATGGGATCATGACCCAAAATAATGGGGTCATGACCAACCATTTTTTAAGGGTCATGGAGACTCCAGGTATACCTTTAAAAGAAGGCTTCCCTTTAAACTCACCAAAACGGGCATACCTTTGAAAGAAGGCACACCCACTGGTCCAAGCGCAACCCATTTCCATGTGGACCCAAACCTCGCTTCATTCGCCGAAGGCGCGAGGTGAAAGGGGCATCCCGCCAGCGAGCATGCCATGCCCAGCAGAGACGCGGCAGTGAGGCCCAGCAGAGGCATCAGCAGCAGGCCCAGGGCACCGAACTCATCCTGAAAGACTTGCTGGTGCTCAGTGGCTAGGGAATTGTCTTGGGGAAACAAAACATAGGGATGGATGTTTTCTTGGCTTTGGGGCAAACACGGTGGATCTTCAACCAAAACCGATCTTCTAGGGCCGGATTCCCCTTCCATTCTTTCCAGCGATCCTTCTTTTCAAAAACCGATCGCGATCCATTTCCCCAGATTTGTTTGGTGGTTTTCTAGAAAGAAGCATGCCTGGGTTCAGAATGGGGAAGTTGGCCCTAGAGATTTCACTCCGGTTTCCCTTCAAACCAATCTCTAAGATCAAACCACATATATACACCAATTAGTGGTGATGGGAACTTAGCCCTAGAGATCCGTATTAAAATGGTCTTGTCGCGCCAGGGAGCTTCTGAAGGCCACACCAAAACCAGTTTTTGTCCACCTATAGCCATGGAACCCAGCAGAGAAATTGGGCCCCTTTTTAAAGGAACATCGTCTTCCAGGACCCCGAAGCGTCAGGTTCCCTTCCATTTGGTTCTTCGGCCCCAGGATCAAATTAGAACCTATATGTCCAGTGATGTTGCTTCCTTTTAAAACCAACGAGGGAAAATAAGACATATCCTTGAGCACCGGATGTTTTGGACTTGATCTCTGCTTGCGTTTCCTTTGTTCCCTATGTGTTTTCTTGTTGAGGCGTATGCCCTCTCCAGGACCCAAATGAAGCGTCAGGCCTCCTGCGCCTTGCCCAGCAGCGAGGGTGCCAGACCCACGAAGAGCAGAGGGCCCAGCCTTGCAGTGACCCTGTGGAGTTCACTTTTTTTTGTTGGGGAGGTCTCTTTTTTTTTGTTTCCCTTTTGTTGGGATTATGCTTAGTGCATTTTTTTTGCGAGGGGGTTGCCCTCTCACCAATTATCAGCTGGAACCTGAGGTAAAGGAAGTTGTCCCTAAGGAAACTGGTCCAAACCAGGAATCCCCGAACGTCTGGTTCCATCTCAATTGGTCGGAGGGTATCCAATTTTACATCAAGTGAAAAAGCTGTTCCTCTGACTTGTTTGGGCCCCGAGTGAGCTTTGAGCCCGAACCAAGGCTCAAAGGTGACCAGGGTGGTGTCGATCATACCGGGTAGCTGCGAAATCCATCCAACGATTCAAGGTTCAGAAACCCAACGGTTTCTGATTCGATTCCCACCGCAAAATACCAAAAACCTGATGATTTGTCCCCCCCATGGTTTCAGGTCGTGATGCGGGGCATGTATTTCGCAACCATCCAAAGTAGTGACTGACCAACCTCCTGACAGGCTTCCGCCAATGGCTGCCCTTTCAATCCGACTTGGGCCTTGAACCCCACACTACAATGTAGGAAATACACGATGCATTTGACTTGCTTGTGAGCAAAAAATGCTTCAGAATACATGGATGATTTGGGATTGCTTGGCCCACCTGTTGGCTTTGTCAGGGGAGAATGGTCAACTTGTCTGAACCAATGTTGCAAAAAATCTGGCCATGTTGGCTGTTCAGAATGGAGACATAATTCTAGTTTATATTGGCTGTTCAGAATGAAGGGTTGGTGAATCCTAATCGATAAAGAGCTCAGCCTATATGTCTTGCCGCCCGCAGCGGCAAATAATCCAGGTGCCTCCCCGTGTTTTGACGCATGCATGGATTCTAACCCTGTTGGATTTGTCGAACCGATAGCCCCCTTTTGAGTACCAAGCAGCCAGAGAAAAAGGTTGCTAGCCCGACAAGGGTTATGAGCCCAAGGACGTAGATCCTCTTAGCTGGGCAATGGATGCCGGAATGCGGAGGAGGCGGGCCCGCAGCGTGGATGCTGGGATGGGCATCGTGGTGGCGGAGGCCGAGGGCGAGCTGGAGGAGGTGCCGCCACACGCTGGGGAAGCACAAGGACGGCGGGTGGAAGTAAACCCGTTCTGGAGTCAACGCGCGCGAGATGAAGCGGCGCTGAAGGCGAGCCGACCGAGCGGGCTGCCTCCGGTGCCGGGGACAGATGAGAAGCTGGCCGAAGAAGAAGATCTTCAAGAAGGACCTGGCCCGGATGGTGGACTGCTCGGATGGGGTGATCGTCAGAACGGTGAGCACCCGGAGGCGGTCTCCAGCCGGGGGAATGAGGAGTTCTGGAGCGACGTGAAGAGGGACCTCTTGGCCGACCTTGAGGGAGCATCCGTCGCACCTGGTGGAGGTGTTCCTTGCCCGGATGATGTCCGTGAACCCGGGCTGGATGATCGAGATCGGCGACCTGGAGGAGGTCGTGGGAACGAAGGTGGAGGGCTGCCACATGGGAATGATGGTGGACTTCAACGAGGAGAGGATGATCGGCTTGGTGAAGGCCGTGGAGAGCCCAGTAGAGGCGTGGAGGGATATGGATCCATGCGTGGCAGACCGATGGGCCGAGAAGGTGATCTTCGGGGGCCTCGGATGGTGGATGCCCGAGCACTATGGCGAGGTGCAGAACGTGAAGGGCAAGGAGATCGGCAGGCTCGTCAGCCAGGTGAAGAACATGGCGGTCGAAGAGATCAACAAGAGCGCCGTCCTGGAGGAGAACGAGACGGGCAAGGCGATCGACAAGCTGGACAGCCTGGTGAAGGGCAAGGAGAGCGGCCGGTCCCGAGGCCGAGTGATGGAAGAAGGCTACAACAGGTACCTGAGCATCGGCAAGATCAGGTTGGGCGAGGCCGAGAACAACGAGAAGTTGAAGATGGGTGGGATGCGGCAGTAAGGAAGTCCGGGATTCTTGGCGGAGGTCGAGAACAGGCTGGTGCTGCGGGAAGCAGCGGAGAGGAAGCCAGGAGGTGGACCTGGGGTAGCCGCGGTCTGGATCTGGATTGGGCTTGGAATGACGAGCTCAAGGTATGGATTCCGGAGAAGGCTCAGCGCCCAAACGATGAGGAGGAGCTGATCGGCGAGATGGACCTGGCTGAGGAAATGGAGAGGAACTACGGCCGGGCGTGCAAGAAGCTGGTCGGCATGGAGAAACAGCGGAAGCACCTCTTCGGCGTGATCAAGGAGCTGAGAGGAGAGGTCAGGAAGACGCAGGAGAAGGCTCAGTTCTGGAAGGAACAGTATGAGCAAGCGGTTCGTGACCAGCATGTGGAGCCGGAAAGGTTTGAGACGCCGGTGGAGGAGATGTTTGTCACCCCGATGGCACAAGCGATTGTTCCCCGGATTGTGGCCCCGGTACCACCGCCACCGCCACCGCCACCAAGGCCGGTGGAAGTTCTTGCAGCGAGGACGGCCAGTACCCCGAGAGCAAGGACTCGGTCGCCTGCATGGAGGTGTACCCAGGGTGGAACTCAGGTGCCGGAAGGAGATTCGCCGAGGACGGAAGATGCTGACACAGGCTGGGAGGCAAGGTGGGATCAGCAACCACGTGGAGGATGGTACAGGAACTGGAGCGGCGTGTGGGGCTCCTGGGATGACTGGGAGCAGAACACAAAGGCGGAGGCGAAGCCGCTGGACCAGATCGAGACGGGAGGAGCAGGGGCGAAGGTGGAACTGCCGGAGCTGGCGTATGATCATTCCCCATTGACGTTGGGGGATTGGTTCGCGGTGGTGGGGTTTCAGATGCAGGATCTTTCCCAAGGAGCGGCTGAGTGGTGGATGGGCACAATGGAAGAGGCGAAGAAGCTCTATGAGGTTTGGCTGAGGAGCACTCCCCTGGACCGGCTCAAGATCACGGTCGGGATCCCGGAGGCTCTCAGAACTGCCAGGTTCGTGCGGACGGAGCAGCGTGGGGTCACCATGCTGCTGCGGGCAATTCCGGAGGAGATCCGCAAGGAGTTGATCTCGGCAAGGGACATTAGCAGCACGGGGGTGCTGTACAGGCTGTTGGTGACCTATCAGCCTGGTGGTCCTGGAGAACGGTCCTTGATCCTCAGGAAGCTCACGGACTTGGGCCAGATGAGGACGGTTGCAGAAGCAGCAGTCGCTTTGAGAGAATGGAGGAGGTACTACCTGAGAGCGCAGGAGATTGGAGCCTCGCTCCCAGACCCTACGCTTCTGGCGGCGGCATTGGAGAAGGTGACGCAGCTGGTGAATCGCGGAGGGCCGCAAGCCTTTCGGGTTGCCCAAGCGCGGACGCAGTTGGGGCTAGATACCACGCCCACGGTGCAAGGCATTTGGAACTACTCGGAGCTGCTGCTTGCGGAAATGGACACGGCGAGGCTGATGGCGGTGGAACCGGCCAGGGTAAAGGCAATGGTCGCCGGCACCACAGCGGACAGGCCCACTCCGGACCATGCGAAAAAGGAGATGGGTACGGCAGTGTGCAGGTACTTTGGGTCGGAGCATGGATGTCGCTTGGGAAAAGGGTGCAAGTGGAATCACGACTGGGAGACAGTCGGAGATCGGAATGCACGGTGCTGGATCTGTGGGTCGAAGCAGCACCGACGACCAGATTGTCCGGTGAAAGGTGGAGGAAAGGGCCAGCCAGCGAAGCCGGTGGTCAAAGCTGCAGCGCACGAGCCGAGAGACGGCTCGGGGGGAGGTGGTGCAGCTGGCAGTGGTGGAAGCGGTCCGGCAGGAGCAAGCGCAGGCGCAGGAGCGAGTGGGTGGACTGCAGGAGGATCTGAAAAGATCGAGAAAGCGGAGGTGGTGGAGGCCACGGCATGGACGGCGACATCTACAGGTGGTGGAACGGGGGAGCTGTTGGCTGAGGCAACACAGCTTCTTAGGTCGATGAGGGCTCCATCCGCGAAGTCAATGGTGGTGATCAAGGAGATGAACACGGTGGTGATCAACAAGGGCCTGCTAGACGGGGGAGCAACTCATGCACTGCGGAAGTGCAAGGACCTGGAGGAGTGGGAAGCCGCAACGCCGACAAAGGTGATCCTGGCGGAAGGAACTACTTCGAAGATGAGGTTGAAGGAGGGAACCCTCACGCTGATCACGCAGGAAGACATCCAGCCGATCGTGCCCATGGGCGTTTTGACCATGATGGGGTACGAAGTGGAGTGGAAGCAGGGACACTGCAAGGTTCGGCGGAGGGGCAAAAGCCTGGAGGTGGAGATGGTAGACAGTTGCCCCATGGTGGAGGTCGAGATCGCATTGGGCCTCATCGAGGAGATGGAGCTCATGGAAGAGAACCACATGTTGCGGTTGGCGGCGATGAAGATGCCGATGGAGCAGTTGAAGGACAGACCGGAGCTGGCCATGACCAAGGCACTGAAGGAATTCTTTCCGGGGGTGCCGGATGAGATCGTGAGCCGGGTGATGCCCAGCATGGAGGTGGATGGGGACGAGCTGCCCTGGAATAGGAGAAGGAGGCGGACATTCGAACGGGCGGAGCACCTCGTTATCCACTTGTTTGCGGGTGCGAATGAGAAGGAGTGGATGGATGGCCTGGAAGGGCAGGGAGTTGCGGTGGTATGCGTGGACACAGCCATCGATCCGGGTCAGGACCTTCATAGGCCGCAGGTGTTTGCCTACTTGTTGAAGCTGGCCAGGACGGGCAAGGTCAAGGCAATCCTGGGCGGTCCACCGTGCAGGACGGTCTCGGCCTGCAGAACGAGGAGTCCCGGGCCAAGGCCGGTGAGGTCGGTGGAGGAGCCCTACGGCAAGAAGGGACTGAACCAATACGAGAAGGAGTTGGTCGATGGGGATGCGGTGCTATGGCTGAGGATGCTCACACTGCATGTGGTGGCGCAGGCATCGACGGAGGACAAGGTCCTGTTCGTGAAGGAGCAGCCACGAGATCCTGGAGAATACCGGGATGATGGCAACCCGGACTATGTCAGCGTGTGGAGGTTTCAGGAATGGAAGACCTTTGAGCAGAAG